AATTTATATTTTAAACAACTTGACGAGTTCTGAAAAAACAGAATACAATAAATTCATTGTGCAAATATTTTTTGCTACTATTTTTTTTAGTTTTTTATTATTAAAAAGTTTTGTACTTCAGCGTTATTAATAAGTTGTGAACTATCTTTAAATTTTAATCAAAGTCAGGTTGAAAGATTGATTGAATGTGGCAGCTATAGTATCTTCAGCTATTAAACTAGCTTTGCCGGTTGCCTTTTCTGTGTCTTGAACGTCACGGCAGTCATCGTTTATTGTAAATTCTTTTTGTCATCCTATATACTTTGCGTTAACGACTTCCCCTTTTTAGAAAATTAAATTAGCATTCAAAAAACGCATCACTTCACAAAATTGCCGCGGGCCTTGAGGAGCTAGAGCTTTAACTTCTGCTGTTTTCGGGAAGGGGGTGACACAAATAAACATTTAAATGGTAGAGAAGAAGCGACTTTTTATGGTTCCAAAACGACTATTTTTATCGTTTATTGCCTGTGAGCGTAATAGGTATGGGAATTGTCTAACAAGAAACGCATGAAACGCCGCGTTTTGCGTGACATTACCTCAGCAAAATTTCTTTATTTAGCACTGCTTTTTCAGGAGGAACACTTTTGGATACAATAACAAGTAATAAAAAAATAATAAAGAGTGCCCTTTATTATTCAGACAGAGGGAAATGTGCGATTTCATCTTGAGAAGCTCAATATTATAATGGAATAATTTGCTAGTTTAATTTTACAACTTAACATGAGAGGATTATCTTAATAATTTTGTAAAAAATTAAGTACTGTAATAAGTTAAATAAAGTAAATCAATATATGGTAAATATTACTATGACTTCAAATTCAATTACTATATTAGTTGCCTTCTACCTCGCTTCTGCCCATTGTCAAATCAAATAAGAAAGGGGCTACAAAGAGGCACTCTTCGCTCTCTTACCCCTTCACTCTACGAAGCTGCCGCAGTCTTGGTTCATGAGTGCAGTAGCAACATTCTCAGGTCTGCTGATGAGCCCTGAAATTGGGCGTAATCGCAATCCAGGCCAGTTATGCTGCTCTGTTTGCCCTAATTTTCTGAGTTTTAATATATTTTATGATTTAAGTAAACAACCTTTTAAATAATTTCCAATAATTAGAATTAACTCATAATATTCTTATTTAAAATCTTGCATTATAAGCTAAACATTTCATTTTTCTTCCAAAAATCGTATTATATTTGAGAAATGGCAAGGGACATTAACGTTAATTCAAAATTAAAGGCCATTTTTAAGCGGTTGCGTCTTAATTACTAACGACAAATTTCGTAATTTACGAGAGCAATAAATTTATCGTCCAATCACGATAGGAGCACGTTTTCGAGCCCGCCGCAATTAAAATTTGACCTTTCCTCGTCGGATTATAAAATTTACTTGACACCAACGCGCGCGAGTACGAATTGCAGAGGTGCTGGCAAAAATTGCAGCCATAAATTAAAACTCGCGAAACAGCTTTTCGAAAACGCGGAGAACAACCAGCCGCTGCGTTGGCTCGCATTTTATGATTTACACAGATTGCAACAAAGGCGTGGACGAGTCCATCAACTCCGGTGTGCCGATCCTTAATTTCGGCTCTGATATGTAATTACATAAATTCATCTGGAAAGGCAGCCGAAAGAGATTAAAGCCACAAAAACTGTTAAATAATCTGGCAACCGCTGGATTTTTGTAATCCTGTAAAAAAGCGTCGTGCATCCAAACAAATATAACAGCATCCCATCTCGCTGGCTTTTATAATTAGCGTTTTTCGAGGAACGATCATGTTTCCAGATAAAAAGCCAATATATAAAAACATCCACGGAGCGGCAGTCATTAGTGGAAAGCTGAGAGTGGAAGAAAAAGTGAGGAGATTCGTGTGTAATATTAAAAATAACACGGACCAAAAGTTGTGCGCAGTCATTATGATATATCGTAAAGCTGCCTTTGATTGCCCTGCACCTCTGGAAAAATTGTATAATGAACCTCGACCGAATACATTCGTTTTCCGTCGGCACCTGCTGCTCTGTAGGTATTACTTTGCTTGTATTTTATTACGCCGCCGGTGCGTGATTGTAATTTAATAATCGCGCCGTTTCCCTTCCAATCTCTCTTGCTCTGGCGGTGCAATAAAGCACGAAAACATATTTCGTTTTTTTCCTGCACTTTGCTGCACCTCGCTGCTGTGACGTGAAACCGAAAGTGCTCGTTAAATCTGCCTGCGGCGTGTGTGCAGATTGTATGTACGTCGGAATAATGTGTATGCATGTTCACCGCGTATAATTTCGAGCAGGCAATTCCAAGATAAATAAACATCCTGGTCTGGCGACGAGTTTCACTTTTGCAGCAAGTCTCCCGGTGCATTGCTCGGCGGTTTGTTTATATTTTAATCATTTTAATTGAAACCGACCACGGAAGCAGCAAATCGTATATAGATATATATAAAACACACTTCAATCCTTTTTCGTGGGCTTGTTGAATCAATCAATCGGATGCACTTTCGCTGACTACGAGATGCGAACGGAGATTGATTTGTGCGACTTTCGGTGCTTTCATTCAATTAAATTGGACCACACGAACCTCTCACAATAGAGAGTAATATGAACAGCAGAGTGAGTGAAAATATTTTGTGACATTTTCTTTCATCAACCTGCACCAAACTTAGAAGAGGCAAGCTTTTAATAACTAGCTTTTTTGCGGTATAATTTCACGACCGAGGGTTTAACCATGGTGATTTGAATTTTTAATCAGCTTTTCCTTGATGCGTTTTGAGAGTTGTTTAATGTTTAAGATAAACAAAATCCTGCACTACATGTTTGGGCTGAAAACTGCTTTTTTTAATCTTTAAAAAGGTAAACTTATTTTTAATTCATAATTTTATAATTTATTTTTATTTTATTTATTTTTATTAGCTTATTTTATAATAATTGATATATTGAGTATTTCTAAATAATTTTTATTGCTTAATTTTAATTTTTTACTATTTTTATATCAGCATACTGAACCAAACGTGTCATATAAACTATTTGTTATTTATTAATAAAAATATATATTAGAACGTCTGCTCAGATCCTTATGTGATTGAATTATAATTTGGTTTTTTATGTTATCAGTTTGCTTCAGTAATAAAACTGTATCAACTATATTGAAAAATAGAAATAGGAACTTGAGGAAAATCATAATTTTCTGCAAATTTAATGTCCTTTTCCACACATTGGTGTGTATTTTTTCACACTGTTACATTGATTTAATTATGTATTGAGGGAATATTCTGTTGGAAACGTCTGATATTTCATTCTACATTTTTAGTCTTTCTTTTATGTTAATCAGCAAATATATTCCAATATGTAAATTAAGCCATGGCACGGAAATGCTGCAGAAACAGTAATTGGCAATAGAACAAGGAAAAGTTTGAGAGAAATAAGCAACAAATAAAACATCCTTCCGGTTTTATTTTCTAGTGTGAGCCTCCTGATAAACCACAGAAAATTTGCTCTCATCTCTCATTACATCTAAATTTCTTGCACGTCTCCCGGGAATGATTAATTCCCTAGGTGTAATGTTGGCTAATTGCCGGCTGGCGCATAATTGCACGGCGCGATCTCTGCACGCAACAGTAATTTGGCGTTCGCTTTTTGTGCGTTTTCTTTTCTTACCATTAGCTGCAGCGAGTTGGACGTGCAGGACAATGAGATTTGTTCCCATGACTGTCATCATCGCGAATATCGCGGGAAGTGAGCCAAAAGCTGAAAAAATTCCGAGCCACTGCCAAGGTTATCTCGCTTTGTATTTCGCTCAGGTCGCTTCCAGTAATTGAAAAATTATCACCTCAGGGCCAAATCTTGCATTATTTCAAATAATATGCAATTGTTATATTGCCGGGTGTGGCGCGCACTTGGCTGCAGAATTCGCTTCCCTTTTATGTTTGAAAATTATTGTTTTATGAGTTTTGTTCAAAAGTAACTAGCACGGGAAGCTGCCGGCTGTTCCAATTTAAAGGCCAAGGTGAGAGGGAGATCTCATAAATCGTATGGACGACGCGTTTTTTGGTCCGAAATTCCGTGAAGGTTGCTCTGTGCTTCACCGATTCTCACCAAATGTCCATCGTAATAGAGCACCTTTGTTCCCTTGCTAAATGGCTAAATGGTTCTGCTTGGCTTCTGCTATGATCACGGGCATTAGCGACTGCCCTTGCAAAAGATGCACTCGATGCGGGAGGTCTTCCATAGATCTGATGAGTGTTTACCAACATCCTTCTCACCTTTAAGCGTAGAAAATTAAATTTAAAAAATAAAAATAAATAAAAACACATATATTGTACAATTGAAAAAAAAATTATAAAATAATAATTTATTTTATTTTTACAAATCAAGTTAAAATAAGGAAGAATAAAAGTAATTTTATAATTTTTGAATCATTATTATCATTGAAAAAAATTAAAAAATGAAAATATGAAATAAAAATAATAATAAAAATCAACTTTATTTACAAATAAACATTTTATGTTAATTGTGATTGTGTATGAAATTGCAAGCACATTACAGCAAAGCGAAAAGGACTACTTTTTTCTGCCGCTCGTAGACGTCAAAAATATTTAAATGAGAATGAGTACTTAAAGAAGATATCTTAAAATATTACGTGTCAGTTTATCGCCAAAATTTACGCCAAACATGCAATTTATTTTACTAAGTAGAAGATTTTTTTTAGATTAACAGGTATAGCTTTTTCACGTCTTTTTTTCGAGCAGCTATTCCATTCAATTCGTTTATTCTTTCTCGCAACACGTACAAAAAGCTAGCAAAAGTAAACTAAACACCACCGGTAATATTCAAGAATTTTTTTTCAGAAAGATAAAAACCACTTCCAGGAATGATTAGGAATTTTTCAATTTGATCATCATATATTATAATTTAATAATTTTGCGGTACAAGGATGAATGAAACTTTGAACTACAAAGTCTTTTCTCATTTGTTCACAGATGCTTTCGCTGCGGTGATCCTAACGCTGGACATGGGGCCCCCTTCCAAAATTGTGCCGGCGGGCGCCGAAGAGGCGCTTCTGCTCGGCCGGCGCGGCGTGTCCGGCATAGTGAACGCCTCGCGCCTGGCCAACATCGTGCGCACCCTGCGCTCCTCCGCGTCCAACGCCCACCGTCCCACCTACTGGCTGTGGTGCTCCGAGCAGGGCCTGCAAGTTCGCGGCCCCAAGTACGACGAGGGCTTCGAGTCGGACGATTCGGCCTCCACAAAGTCTGGCGGCGAGGTGGAGGAACGGGCCGGAGACACGAGTTCCGGCGTGTCCGACCTGGATGACCAGGTGACCACCTCGGACAGCGGCCCTCCACGGATTCCTCAGGAGCAATTCGCCATCCGCGACATTGTATTTTGCCACTCCGATCCCTCCTTCCCACGAGTCTTAGTCTGGGTAGTCAACGGTCCCCGGAGGCCTTCCCCGGCGTGCATGGAGGCCTTGGTCTTCGAGTGCAGAAGTGAGGCGAGTGTCCGGCGGCTGAGTTCATGCCACCAGGAGACCAGCAGACGCCTGAAAATGCAAATGCTCAGCGCCAAACGAATGGCCCACAATCAGCCGGTCCTTCCAGACAGGATGGACACCCTGTTGCCGGACAGGTGGCGGGACAAGTACGTCCGCCAGAGAGAACCACCGACCCTGTTGTCCATGCCCGTTCCGGAGGATGAGTGGGACGAACCACCGAGAAGACCGGAGCGCCGGCGATTCGTTCGCCGGAAACCGCAGGAGGACATCCTGAGAGGGACCTTCGTCAGGGTCAACGTGGTCGACCCAAAGCCGTCGCCCGTGCTGCTGAAGCCGCAGTTCACGTGGATGTACGGCGTGCCGGCCACTGCAGAACTAGTCCTCAGCCAGTCTGCGCCGGTCAATCGGTCCAGGCGCAGCTGCAGAAGTGTTAGTCCCAGTATGTCCAGGAGGACAAACTCAAAACCGCTCAGGTAAATTTTATTTTATTAGAAGGTGAAATGCATGAATATTATTTTATTTTTTATTATGTTATTTTGAATGCAAAATAAGAAGATTGTCTTTCGTATTTTAAGTTGATGACGAAACAAACAAACATTCCCTTAATTTTACAATTACTATTAAATTGACGAAGGTTTCTTTGTCATTCATTGTATGATAATTTTATGCAAGTTGCTGCTGCAACCCATTTTTTTTTGTTCATTTATCAGGCACGTACCATCAGCTAGTTGAAAGTGAATTCTTCAGCATCTCATGCATGTCAAAACATCATAATTACATTACTGTGGGCCTTTTCTCGATAAACGAGGCGAATTAAATTTAACTTGCAAAGTGCGTTTCTGCATCATCAATAATCGCTAGAGAATTTCATCAGCCGCGCATTTTTTTTACAACTAACCCATTATTAAATTTCCTATCATTAGCGCACGCAGACTTGCGCGATTCGAAATTGAGACTTATTAAAATCCCACGTTTTCTCCGTTCTTGCGCGTAATTAGTCTCGTGGAAATAAATGCCGTCTGCAGATTTATGCTAATCGACGCCGCTTGCTTTTCTTTCTCCCTCGAAAACCAGTTTCGCCGATTGCAATCAGCTCTGGATAAAATACGTTGACAATATTATTTGAAATTAAAATCAATTATTTTATGTGCGGAATAAAAAACTGTGAAAAGTCAGTCAGGTGGTCGGGCTTAGAATTCCCTTTCGAATGTTTTAAATTATTCAAAATGAATAAAAATCTTCCTGACAGACCTTTACAGCTCCTTTCCTTTCACCGTCCCAAGGCGAAATCCAGAACATTAATCTCTTGAAGTAATCAGCTTAAGATTTTTTGAAGAGCACGCAAGGAGATTTTTTTAAATAACAAATGTGCGTGTCTTGTGTTGCAGGTATGCGCCTGAACCTGCCCCGAGTCACGGCTTGGTTCAGGGTCTCACCCAGAAACTGAAGGAGCTGGCGCCAATTGCCGGCACCCTGAAGCGCTGCTCAAGGAACAGGGAGCAACACCAGTTCAGCACCCTCAAGCCAGTTATAAAAAAGACCAGCAAGAAGCATAGCGAAGGTGACCTGCTGGCCGAACCAAAAAAGGTCACCTTCAGTGCATACGCGACAGTGCAGGTAGTCGATTGAGTAGAAATTCAAAATGTACTTCGACTTGTTCCTTTTTTTCTTTGTCGTCTATTTGCGGTTTTTGTTTTCTCGAGAGCGACCGAGCAAAGGTCTTTTCAGACAAATGACCTGGATACACGCTGACCTTTACGGCGTTGATGCGGATGCAGTTTTCAAGTTCTTTTGCCCATTCGTTCGCCTTGGCAAATGATTGCGATTCAATCTGTAGATTAAAGCGCCGACTGTCTCTTGAAGTTGTTTTTTTTTCTTTATGAGCTCAAAACCAAAGATTAAATTTTTGGAAATTTTCAAATTTTGAGCCTCGCACTTCGCTTTATTTTTCTTTTGATGTTTAAAATTCGATTTGGAGATGCAAAACCGATCTGATTTTTGTGATTTATAATTTTAGTTAATTATTTTTTCACTGTGGTTTTCATATTTTTTTTCTTTCGAAATATAGTGATAGGAAAATATCATAGTCTTGTTGTTACACTTCTGTATACCGTGCAAACTTCAAACTAATCACAGATGTTGTGTATCTATATGTATTTTCGATGTGTATCCAATATACTTCAATGTATATGTACATTTTAATATTATGCTTCGGATGTAAATCTAGAGAATAAGCCGAACAAGCAATAAATAACCAGTCCCTTTACTTTACAAATGAGAATGCGGAGTTTAATTCTTAAAAATAGCAACCGCCGGAATTCCATTGTGTACGCAGCACCTAGAGGTCATTCATTCATTATTTGTCACAGTTTTGAGTAGGCCACAGTCTGAAAATAGCCGGCGCGCAACCTTATTTTGCTGGATTTCTACAAATCGGTGCCTGTTCTTGTTTGATTATTATGGATATAAACGCCGTATCGAGTTATTTCAACTTATTTCAGAGAGAAAGAAAAGTTTTCACTTCAACAAAGTGCAATTAAGCCTCTGCAGGTGCGCGCCGCCAGCACCTTTCCATATTCAAAGACTTTTCTCAATGCATATGGAGGTTGTTTTTCTTCTCTCTCGTGACGATGACGACTTCAAATTGGCTTAGAACAAAGAGTTTTGTAAGCGAGGAGTTTTTTTTTTGTCAAGTTTTAGAATTAGAAAGGGGAAAATAAAGACGCAGTATTTAATTTTAATTCGGCATAGGAAATAGGTCTTGGGATTAATTTAGAACTTGATTTGTTTTCCATAATAAGAGATTAAGAACTTTCCAGCCGTTTTAATTCGATGATGCCCCTTTTAAAGGGATCATATATTTACATTTTATTCCAGTCATATCTCTTTATGTGCATATTTATCGTGTGTGAGAAAACGTTTTCATGATGTGCTGTGAGAGAATGTGTCATTGTTCGTACGAGAGGATGCGCTCAGGCTGATTGTTCCGTGATTTCACATTCGCCCTTTTATCACTTTTCACTCCGACTTGCATTTTCCCTGCATGAAATAAAAATTAATACTCGAAAGCATTTTCTTTTTCGTGGGCTCTCGCGTGCCTTATTATGACAGGCAAGTGCATGCACGTCCAGAGTTAATTTGCCATTCCAAAAAGTAAAGGTGCATAAATCAGGATAAAATTAATAACACACACGATTCTCTTTCAAAGTTCTTCAAATGTAACGCTCGTGCTAGTTTACAATTGGTTATTATGTATTATATTAGCAAGAAAAGTAAACTATTAACATTACACACTTTATTCTGAACAGTTTCCAATTTCACAACAGCTGTTTGGGCTTATTAAATTCAATATTTTGGATCGTGCGGCGGCGGTGGCAGACGCGGCCATTATTATGCAACTGGCAGGAATCTGGAATGGCGAAGTGGAGCGGAAAGAAGGTTACAAGGCTGAAGAATCTTCCTTCATCTCGGTGGCGTGCAATTAGTTTCCAGGCTCTTGCTATGATTACGTCCTCGAACTGCAAATTGCAAGTAAGTATATAAGATCCGCCAAGAGGTGCTCTTCTTCTTCCAAAGCCGCATTCCGCCGAGGAAATAAAATAATCTGTATAATAATGCAGCTCATGCGCGCCGAGCAATAAACGTGCAGAGGATATACATTGAGACGTAATTATCAATGCCAGCACCTCTCTCATTTTTTTTTTACCTCCCATATCCACCGTCATTTTGCTGTAGTTTTACATGAATTAATTTAGATCGAGAATATTATCACCCTGACCTAATCATTTATCACGACTGGTTATTTCAGTTTTCTGCATGTCGATCACTTGCATCCACTTAAGGGATACAAGATTTATGCATTTTGTGATCGGTTAATTGTATGTGGCCGAGGACAATCGGCGGCCGACTTTAGCCTTTGCCACAACCTGTCTGCGCGAACAAAAGTTCTTGGCCGCCAGTTTAATGCAATGCAAGAAAAACGAGTACTTGCTGGGTATACAATTTTTGTCTAACAGGATAGCCAGTCAATCGCAGACAGAATGCGAAATGAGGTTAAATTTTTGTCGCTCGTTGGTCTCCGACCTGACCTTGGGGCATTATTCTATTTTGGCAAGTCCTTATTTGGGCAGGTAACTTTTCGCAATGACATGCCAAGTGTTTTATTTTTTGCGCAGGCCAAAGAAAAAGCAAAATATGTTGATTGAATCAAGCAAGTAGAATTCATTGTGAGGAGGATTTTTTTTCAAACTTCATTTCATCATTTAAAAACAGTGAATTTTCCTTCTACACGCTAGATTGTGTTTGAAACACTTGATTTTTCTCTGGAATATAATGCCTGTAATTATATTTAATTTTGATTTTTAGTTAAATTTTTCGTGTGAAACAACTAATTTAATTATTTAATTAAAATATGTTAACAAAGTAAAATTTTAACATAAATTTAAATGTTGTTTTCTCTCGAGCAAATAAAGAGAGCCAAATTTTGAAAACGAGAAAGCCTTTTGGACCTACTATTTATGGTTGGTCACGAAATTTAATTTTCCTTATTGTGTTGAGAGAAGAGAAAATCGACGCCCGCAATTATTTTTCCAATCACGCTGACAACGCAATCAAATATGTGAAAATTCACGCCGATAATCACACATTAACCTAATAGAATAAAATACGCCGATCGTGAGTAAGACGAGACGAGTGTGTGTGCGTTTCATTTATTTCAAGGCAGCAAATACATGTGATAAAATATAATAATGCCTTTCAAAGAGCGCGATTCAATTTCATGCAAATCTCCTCTCTCGAACCAACAACGAGTAGCGACACACATTCTCTATGAACTCTCTTCTCTTTCTCCATCAAATTTTTTTCCATTCTTTTTGAATGGGTTTACTTTGAGCGTATATTTTTGAGGCCTCTCCTCGTCCGTCGGCGAGAATAATAATAATGCAGTGAAAGGATTGACGATGCAGGTGCCTGCTTGAGAAGAGAGAGATGAGTCTGGAGAATCTCAAGATGACCGCCGCCGGCAAATCACGACTTTTAAACGTATATATCCTCGGCAGCCAGCGTTTGTCCTTTTTGCTGCTCCATTCTGCGCTGTTCTCCTGCTGCAACTTTCACATCTCTACTTTGCCAGTAAATAGAAAAAAAACTCATCTGCACAAGGGAGTGAATTAAAAACTGGCAAATAAATCCGATTCTTCCTGTATTATGTTAATTTTACTTTTTGGAATCAATTTCTTTGATTTCGAATCGGCCCTAAAGTTTGGAGACGGCAAGATGCTCTCACTTTCGAGACATGTGCGATTCTCCGAGAGAGATATTTTGCGCCCGTGGCCTGACCTTGAAAGTGCAAAACCAGCTCTCGAGTATGGAAGAGAGAGAAAAAATGGCATCGGCAGTGTGTAATTATAATTTACATTTGGGCCAGCTCGGACATAAAGGATTCTTTAGGGAGAAAAGTTTCGGCGCGGGGACCTCAAATAAAAGTTCTGCACGTGTCCGAGAAAGATGAAAGTGAGCTCATCTGTTATTGCCAAATTTTGAAATCTTCATTAATTTGCACACCTGTAAAGTAGTGTAATAAATAGGAGGCTGTAAAATTGAGCGAGAGCGTGCTTATTCTTGTGGTTTTAATTAGCTTATTGAGCGCTTATTGTGCTTTAGTAATTACCTTGTGCAAAATTACACTTCTTAAATGGCAGCGAAAGGTTTCATGTAGATCCATATTCATTATGCCAACCAACAAAAAGAGAAAAAGTTCAAATTTTTTTTTTATTACAGTGCAGAATTAAAATAATGATTTTTAACAAAAAAATTAATTAAGTATCTTTTTTAAAGTTAGAGCTATCTTGGATTTGGATTAATTTCCTTAATTTTCTTTTACATAATTAGAAAAATAAGTCACTTGTTTTTTAGACTCTCTTCATTGTAACTTAAAAATTACCTTAGCGGGTGGTTTTTTAAGTTCAATTTGAGTCTCTGAAAAAAATCAGGCTAGAATACTACTATAATAACATTTCTTTAATATCTTTAGAGCAGGATATTGCTTTTTCTTAAACAATACACAACTCACAAAACCCATTTCGATTTCAAATTCAAATCACCATCGTTCAATAAGTTAAAAAATTTAAAAAAAGATTGCACGCAGGTTAGGAGGAAAGTATAAATTTTATATTTTACTTTTCGAAGTTCCCCTACTGAAACTTTATCTTGAAATTAATTTAAAATTTCTAAACAATGTGTATGAATACAAAACTTATATTATGATTTTGTACTAATCAGTATCAATGTGAAACCAAATATATTATTTAAAAAAATAAATAAAATAAAACCAGATGACTACCTGATAATGATAAATCATTCGGAAAGGGAGCAGCACCTGGTTATATAGATATTAGATTAATCATTATGATTAAATTATTAACAATAAATTGTGGCAAATTAACAATAAATTGTGGCAGCAGCTCATATTACAATCATTACCGGCGTACTATATAATTATATGCATTTAAATAAAGAAAAAACGAGCCACTTTTCTATAAAATCATGTCACTTCTGTATATATACCTGTTTTGTATTTTATTTTCCACTAAATGCAGCGTAACCGACGTAGTTGAAACATTCTTACGCGAGCGCAGAAAACGCGTTTTCCTCGCCAAAGCATGAGGGAAAAAAACAGTGGTAACCAGTTTGGCAGCTGTGAAATCTATTAACAAATCGTTTGTAGGTGGCCAGGTGCGCTCTCGTCCAAACGAAATTATGTCACGCAAGGTCAAATCTACTTAAAGAAATCAGCAGTCTGACAACGAACCAGATTGCCACCTGAATTAAACACGAGAGATAGAATCGCGAATGACGAGCGTGATGCGAATGAGGCCCAATGCGTTACGCTTGCTAGTCGAGAGACACTCGAGCAGCGTGCCATATTAACTAAACGCAAAAGTGTATCAGAGACAAAATGCGATACACCCGCAGCCAGCATCTGCGAAACGAATACATTTGATCTCGATTGCGCGTTCAAGGGGATGCCCTCCAAATACGCAACTAGGTTGATTAATATGTGTGCACAGATGATTGTGTGTGCAAACGACATTCGAGACCTGCACCGCTCGCCGCCTTGAGAGATCAAAAACGATATTGCGCACTGAACAATTCCAAGCCAGGTGATGTATTGTTGCCTGTTTGTTTATGTATATGGTGTGTAATTGCGTGTCGATCTTTTAATTGCATTCAAATGAACGACCTAGTAATGACAGCAGGCACGCAGGGCAGTGAATA